CTCTTTTCGGCTTGTTATACCTTTTCTGTTACTCCCTGTATAAGCTTCATGTTCTTGCTTCTCAATTAATTTGGCGTCACGACTTATCAAAATAATCCTATAGAACAAGTGGCAGCCCTGGCGGATTACTGCGCTAAACACGATACGGATTAACAAGGTATTATGGTTTATTCGACGTCGGTTACGTGCGAATGCGTCACCCTTCCGTCATGTCCAGGACATGTTAGACTTGTTCCGTTTTAATTGGGGGATCAAACGGTAGAAAGAGTTGAAGTACTTATAGCACTTACCTAATTCTATTAGTGAGATGCCTCTTTTCGTGATAGCTATTGGTAATTAATTATAAATAATCAAGATTTCATTTTCCTGCTCTACTCCTCTACCTAAACTTAGGTGCATTCCCCTTACTTCCTGTAATTTTTTCGACTCTGGATGCGTTCACTAAGTCAATTATTAATGTGTTCACTGCCTCGAAACTTTTTTGCGTTTCATCCAAGGATGTTATTGCTCGTTTTCTAAGTTTTTCTCTAGAATTCTGGGTACGGGTACCTACCTTTTTCATCATAGTTCAAGGTATAATTTAAGTAGATATCTACTTGTTCGGCTTCAGGAACACAATGAGTAGGAAAACTACTTACCTACCCACCTACTAATTTTCTAAATAAGTACATAATTAGTAGGTACTTACTCAAATAGGTAGTGTGCCTAAACTAGCGGCCCGTTAGCGGTTTCACCAGCTGCAACTCATTTCCCCCCTTTTTACACGGGAAAAGGCTTTATCCCGTTATGCGTTATACATATAAACCCTTCTCTTAAATAACTCTATCCATTACAAACTACCGCATCAAAATCCGTTGCGTGGTTTAGGAGGAGATAGTGAATTCCACGACAGACAGAAAAACGCATAAAGCGACTTCATTTTATACTATGTTTAAGTAAGTAAGTAGGTAAGTATTGATACTACAACGTCTATCTCATGTGGAGGTAAAGTGGAAAAAGATTACGATGGCGACCAATCCTACCGCCCCTGTCTATTAGATTCGCATTTGTACGAAGCATTAGTGCGAACCCTACCCTCACCATAAAAATGTAATTAGGGGCTTTACATGAACTGCTATGGGGAATCTATGTCATGGCAGGGAGACTTTGAAATATGAAGTATGTATAATATTTATTAAGTAGTAAAGTGACCCAAGTTTTTTGGCTAGGTATATGAATTTTGCGCATTCTTACCGAAATATTTTATTTAAACTTGAGTTTAAGGCTGATTGCCTGATTATCTAGGTAAGTATTACTAAGTATAGCTACCACGAAATGTTCCAAAGTAATAGAAAATACGAATTGTTGTGAAGATACTTACAACTATTATTATCTTCACTATACACATTTTATATTAGGCTGCCAGTTCATAGGGGATACCTACTTACCTGCACTGCACACATTACGATCTAACTTCGCGGTACGAAGTTTAATATCCTTTGACTGCATCAACTTAATTCAAACTTGGTTTTGTTCATATGATCTAAGTTATGGAGAGAACGTGAAGAAAACACATTCATCAAAACTTTTGCGCTCATAATAATAGGAGAACTTATCTACAGCAAAATCTACCCCTAGAAAGTCAGTAGACGTGTACTTGGCAGATATTTTTAGAGATAGCACTTAATCGATTTATCCCTCCCCTTATCCCGTGGTTCACAAACAGCCCCTAGCCAGCTTGAAGGCACTCAAATATAGATTTACCCTTTCAGAAGAGTTGGAAGGGAGGTGCGAGATCCATCATATCTGGATCCTACCTCTCAATTATACGCCCCTCGATTCCGATAACTTGATCCATTTTTTAAGCTTCAGGACGAATCGGTTACAGATTTGGTGGTTTCCTGGTTGGGGATAAAGGAAACGTGAATAAGACGTCAGGATAAGGAACAATCAAACAATTTGTAGGGAATTTCCGGAATTCCTTATTGACGACCGCCATATTTACAAAGGAAATTGATCCTGCATCCGTTGCACTGTTCTTTCGGCAACCAAGAAGTAAGTAATAAGTGACAACCAAGGAGAAAGTCTGCGGTAGCCCAGTTGATACTGGCGTTGGCAGAACAGATGCCGAAGGTGTTCAAATCCTGCCTGCGGTGAAAATTTTTCCAAAAGACTAAGCGAACGTCTGTGTCTACCTCTAGAAAAGCCTAATTAAAGCGATTAAAGATATGTGTCCATAAGTTATCTTATCTATCACATAGGTATCAGTCACCTATTAAATACTTAATGCTGAGCCGGGTGATGCGATTATCCGAGCCTTATAGATACAATTTTATTAGCATCACTGACAACCTGTCACTATTTCTGAATGGCTCTTAAACTTTTGTCAGGCGTTGTGTACATGACCTTTTTTGCAGCCGCTTACGCTCTGCCTGCCTATTTGTATGTAAAGCATCATATTCTGCAAGGACTCACTCACCGACAAGCCTGTTGAACTAGCTAATTGAGCACGTATGCTCACAGGTAGACGTATGGAAGGCTTTTAGTGCCATCTAAAATTTAATGCCGCTGCCTAGGGAAGATATTGAGGCGGTTCCCACACACACAGCATAATTTTACGGTGTTTTTCCGGATCCGGTTTATTGGCGAATAGAATACCCAGGGTTCGAAAATATCCGATATTTATAATAAATATCAAAATATCCGATATATATCCAATAAATCGGATATATATCCATATTTTGATATTTATCGGATATATATCAACCAGTCTAAAATCTTTCAAAATAATGTATTAATTTTGACGCTAAATACAAAAAAAATAAGAAAATTTATCTGTGACACTTAATTTCATTATAGTTTATTTTAAAATGAAAGTGGTATAGAAAATACTGTATTTATTGGCCAGTAACACATAAAGCGGATGGACAATAGTGGATACGTGCATACCTAAATTTTATAATCGCACGCAGGAAATGCTCTTCCAATTAAACCATTTATCTTGCACACCAAATAAAATATTAAATCTACAAGTCTATCTAAATACGTACATACCAACGAAAAAATAAAAATAATATTTATATTTATAAAATATAACTTATACAGAAAAAAATACAGCAAAATACATTAATTACTGATCTATATCATAGTAATTTGTTTCTTTCTAATGGTACCCTTATTTTCCAAGCGTCGCGACAACGACGCGCGTCGTTGTCGCTGCGGTCTTGTAGAAAAACCCGACCGCATCCCATACAAACACTGAGCTTCTCAGCGCGCTGTCAACATGACGGCGACGCGGCGGCGTCGTTGACGCTGACGCTCGGTCTTTCTGGTTCCCCATACAAACACATACATGGTTTTTAAGCCTATCTTAAAGCATAAGAAAAGTGGGGTTTTTAAAATTAATTAGAGATATTCATTGGTGGCGTACTTGGCGAGTTCTTTTTTAGTCTAATTGACCAAAAATTTTCACTAATCCTTGACGCAAAATGTGTGATATATATCCAAAACATAAATATCATAATATCACGCGATATATATCCTTGATACATATCACTTGATCTTTATTAAGGAGTAAATATCGTGATATATATCCGATAAATATCAATGATATATATCAAGTGATATATATCTTCGAACCCTGAGAATACCTACCATGAATGAACACATCGCCGGATCAAATTGCAGCTCCAATTTGTACCCTGTCACAAACCGCAATATCGCCATGTACATGGGATATTCACTAAATCCGTCCGCTACTGATTTTTAATAACTCTACTAAGTAACTTCAGTGACTAGCCTGCTTGAAGTCATACACATCATGATCACATCAGCAGTCCACTGCTGGACATTGACCTCCCCCAGGGCACGCCACACGCACGGCACGATCTTCCGTTTTCGCCATCCAGTCGAGCCACTTACTCCGCCGTCCATCGGTTCTTTGACAAATGAGACCAGCCCACTGCCACTTCAGCTTGCTTCGCTTCCAAACTATGTCCGTTACTTTGGCCTTTTGGCGGATAATCTCGTTCCGGACCTTATCTTTTAACGCTACTAGAAATAACAGCGTTAAAATCTGGGTGGATATTATCTCCACAAATTCACTCACCTCTCTCCTTTGAGTATTATTTTTATCCTTAGCCTAACTCATGTAATCGGGTTAAAACTTCTTAGAGAAGAAAAGAGTTGTTGGTTATTCTACTGAGTTCTGAAAGTTCAGTCGATAAGGCCTTTCATGATATGTGTAGATCGCTATCCTAAATATATGATTTCTTTTTCATTTCATGACTTTCAAACTTTGATTTTCTGCGGAGTTTTTCTAGACTATTGTTGCTTTTCGTCTGTACCTACACTTTTCTAATGTACAATCACCTGGCAGTGTTACCTGATCCCCCAAAGTCGGTAGTTTTCATTCGATAAACTCTATAAAATCAATAGTATCGGTAGTTCAAACTGTAGTAATACTATCGAAAAGGTGCAACACTAACAAGAGTACTTAACAATTTAAAAACAATTGATAGTATAAGGCCTTTTTTGACAGCTATAATAAACTTGTACTTAGAAGTTAGTAAAATCATGGATAGATGGCGCTGAGTCAATGTCGGTGATGCTTTCCAGTCGATACTGTCGATAGCTTTTCAATCTTGACAAACGATAGTTGGTATTGCTGCAGTTTGAAGTATCGATAATTTTTCGATAGTCCTATATCGAACGGCAACGTAGAGTGTTTATCTACTTATTATTAGTAAAAGCAGCAATCTTCTTTCTTTTTTAGTGGGACTTCGAGTCGTCCAACGACCCGATGAACCCTGGTGTCAGTTATTCAACTGCCTGATACAAGTAGCAGGCCTTTGACATGATTTTGTAACGACCACCGTCTAATTTATCATAGACAGTAACCTGGACCGACGGCTTAACGTAGCACAGAACCATTTGCTTTTCGGACAATCAGGTGGTTCAGGCTGCAATGTCCTAATCAGACTGGGAACAAATTCACAAAAGTGATAAATATCAACTTTGTGAAACGACTCACCGAGAATCGAACCCGGAAACTTCTGCGTCGCAGGCAGGTGCACTACCACTGCGCTACATCGCTGCTGCTGTAAAGCTGTCAAAGCTGCGATTGCGTGACCGCTTTTCACTGCAATTTTTAAGCTCGAGCAAATATGAAGTCAGTGCTAACAAATTAGATCACTGTAGAATAACCTAATTTGTAGAGTTAAAAGTTTGTGGATATCGAGACTTTGTTAAAAAAATGTTGTTCTTCTTTCTTTTTGTAAAGAGTCTACTTTTGGAATTGTGATGAAACTTTTGCTGCTTGCGATGCTTGCGAAATGTTGTTTTACTTACCTATATATGGGGTGAAATTTTACTAGTGACCGATAGCGAAAACTCAGAACCGGCTAGTGATAAGGAACAACTTTCCCCAAGGAACATAGGTCGAAATACGAAAAAAATTTTTGGACCTCCCATTACAAACTTGGCGATCAGCTGATATCAGTTACTATGGGAGGGCCAAAATATTTTTTCGTATTTCGACCTATGTTCCTTGGGGAAAGTTGTTCCTTATCACCAGCCGGTTCTGAGCCTTCGCTATCGGTCACTAGTAAAATTTCACTCTATATTATGATATTATATTATGTTCGAGCGCTCAAATTCATGTTATTTCCGGAATATACTTACTTCGTTGATCTTGAATTATGTGAAAATACATACATGGTAGTAGTAAGTACCACAAACAAGAGTAGCATCATTGTTATATTTGGAAGAAATAGCTAAAAGGTAGAACGGCAACAACAACTCAAAAACAGTGTAATAATTCATGTAAAGAGCTTTTTTCAACCGAAGAAAACCTGCGACGCGCGTGAGTAGCACTAGAGAATGCAGGGAGGTAAACCTGAAATAAGATCTGCATTGATAGGAATAACTAAAAGATAGATAATGGCAATAAATGGAAAAATAAGCAACGACCAACGAAATAAGCAGCAACAATTCGGAAACAGTGTTGATAATAATTTATGTAAGGAGCTCTTTTACAAACATTAAGGCAAGTAGAACAGGAAGCGCAGCGAGGAAAACCCGAAAAAAAGATTCCTAACATAGGATAGGAGTAACTAAACGATACAACAGCAATAAATCGAAAAATAGGCAACTCAACCAACACACAGCAACAACTCAGAAACAGTCTAATAATTCATGTAAGGAGCTTTTTACAAACATTAGCGAGGCGAGTAGCACAGCACAGGAAAGTGCAGGCAGGGAGGAAAAGCCGAAAAAAGATTCCTTTGTTTTTTGTGAGGGCAAAAGAGGAGATAATACAAAGCGGTAGTGCAGGAGCCTTAATCCTGGCTGTGAGCTTGCGGTGAGGCTGGGATACGGAAACCTATTGAGCATTGTAGTCTGCATTATTTGAGTTGTTAGTAAGCGATCTATCTATAGTGCTGTTGCTGGTAGTTTTAATTCGAAAACCTCCACTAAATCGATAGGCCAAACGAAAATGTAGATAGTATCGGCAGTTCAAACTGTAGAATGTTATCGTCAAGTGCAATACTGCGATTGTTTTGTTTTAAATCGATAGTATCGAAAGTTTTTCAATCTTGAGTAACGATACTATCGATAGTACTGCTGCATTTTAGTTATATAGAAATCCTTATTGACTATTTAAAACAAAATAGAATTATGTCCATATTGTAAAATAACTATTAGGTACCTATATCAATCTCTATTCAGTAGCAAGTAAAGAATTTTAGCTTCTTATTCCTTTCAGTTTAGAAATTGCCTCTCCTTTATTAAGTGCGTATACCTAAGTCTTCCATTCCACGCTCCTATAGAAGAATTAGTTGTTAAGTAAATAGTTTTAGTACATTTTCTTGCCTATTTTACCTAAATTTGGTTACCAACACTGTAACCCTACCAACCTAAAATGTACCCAGTTGATAAAGCAAACTTTTTATTAACATCAGAATGGCGGGACCAAGGCTAAAGTTTGAATTTGAAAATAACAAATATTTAAAACTAAAATAATTTCTAAACCGATCAGGAAGAAATTTCCTTATCATAGGCACTAATTAGAAGAAATTAGGTACTAAATATTTGTTATATGGAAAATTCAAACCTTCGTCTTGGTCCCGCCATTCTGATGTTAATAACTTTTTTCCTACCCGCCATCCGCCACCCGGCTCCATATATTGCCCTGTTTCCGCACCGGGTCAAGTTTAAAAGAGGTTGCACTAAATTTTCGACTCCAGCGACAAATCCACGGCAAAATACTGGGGCACTTTTGTTATGGACGGGCAGATAGTACAGGGTGGATAAAAGTTGACCAACTTTCCTGAAAACCGCATGTTCTAAACTAAAACATGAGTTGAAATCTGTTGAACTAACTTGCCGTAATAGAAATAGTATCTGAAGAGTAAGTATTATTTTAGAAGTTGTGGATCTTTTTTCATACATACATATATCACGTCTTTATGCCTTGCGGGGTAGGAAGAGCGTAAACAGCTGTGACAACGGCCATTTACAAAACTTTGAGAGTCATTCAGAAGACCGTGAGGGGTGTCAGCCTGTCGCCAAAAATTTAAATACTCGGCAACTAGCAAATCCACTTCTTACGACAACCACAAGAAAGATACCTATGAGGTGATGCTATTCTAAGCCAGCATCACTCAGCAAAGTATTGTGTTCAATAAATGACTTGTAAGGATGGGATCACACTTAGGTACGCGGACTTCACGCATGTTGAATGTGTGTTATGTAATGTTGGTCACTAACGCAGCCCACGCGTGGTACACGCGCGAATCTTGGTAAGAGTGCGCTGCACAGACTTTGTACTACGAGTAACTAGCACGTATCTGACTTCTCTAAGTATAGTTTTTGGTAAGATTAAATTCGTTTTCAAACATGCTGTACCTACTTGTATTGTACGTATTCTTGCACTTTTCTTTGTCACTTTCCTAAAGTGGCTGAGTCGTAAACATTTTAGAGACATAACACATAACAATACCACTACTAGTGCACTACTTACCGAACTGTTGGCTGCTTCTATGATATATTGTAACGACTGAGAACTGTGTCAAGTACCTACTCCTGTGCTGGCTTAGAAAATAATATATGTGCACTTGTCGACCACAACTCCTGTGAAATTGTTATAAACTGTTCTGGAAATAGAAATTGCATTGCCAACATTATTTGGTAACCTCGAAATTTTTATGTAAGTAGTATCAGTAGGTACCTAATGGTTTCGCACTGCCTACCTCCAAGGGATATAGGCGTGATATATGTATGTAGTAGGTACTATTGTAATAGCTATTAGTCTATTACACAGAAGCTACCCCTCCCACAGAAGTCTATTTCAACCTATTGCAGCCCACTGCTGGACGTAGGCCTGCTGCAGGGAACGCCATAAGGCACGATCTCCCGTTTTTGCCATCGAGTCGCTACCAGCCGTCTTTTTTAAGTCATCGGTCCATTTGGTCGGAGGGCGTCCAACGCTACGCTGTAGCAGAAGTAATCTACGAAATTTAAAAGCGTAGCAAAAATAATCTACCCCTTAAGCGTAACAGATATAATGTACCTCTAAAACGTAGCAGAAATAATCCACCAGTACAATTTATTTGAGCGCAAAGACATTCTCTGAGGCCATTTCTCAAAAAATTGGCCGCACAACCTGTGCATCAGTTTACGTCAGATATTTTTTATATTTATACACCCAGCTGATAACTTTTGCCATATTCGTTTTTAAACACAGATCTTGCACAAAGGCCATGTGTATATAATATCGCTCGAGGTATATTATATACTTTTAAACTGATTTTTACGTATATTTGGTCGCTAACCTGCGTGTCTTTTCACGATGTGCTTAAGTTTAAGCAATAAAAAAATATATTAATGCGCAAAAATAAAATATTCTACCAAACGTTTCTATTTACGTATATCCATAGGAGAAGAATCACACAATATAATAACCTAATATTCATTATTCATAACATAAAATACAATTTAAAGTTTAGTACGAACATTTTTGTCGTTAATCTGCAAATGTGAAAACACGATCGTACCGCGGGTACCACTTCACCTCTCCCGTCTCACTCTGCTACACCCGAACCAGCCATCCAGTAGCAAACATCTGCTGAGAGGAGGCCTTGTCAGTTGTTCAGTTTCCGGAGAAAAGTCGAGCTATATATCGGATTCAGGAGTTTGTAACGGGTATGTAGTCGTTTTTATGCCTCTTTTATGTAAAAAACTATGCTACCCGTTGCACTCATTTCAAGTTATAATGTGTAAAATAGTGTTTGCTTTAATGTGTCTAAGTGAGCAATCCTTGTACAAAATGGTTTTCCTGTGATGATGAAATAACTGCTATTTAGTCGTTAACCTGCCGGTCGTTCACCTGTCTCAAAAATGCAGGTGAACGACCAAATAGCAGGTTAGCGACAATTATCATACAAATGTGTAATTAATAATATGAAATAAATGATCTAATTCATTGCTTAATATTTTACTAATTTGATAAAAGTAGTCCTAAATTTATTAAACAATAATTTTAGAAGGGTTTTTCTAAAAAATCATTGAATTTTTCATCATCATCATCATCATCATATCAGCCATAGGACGTCCACTGCTGAACATAGACCTCCCCCAAATATTTCCACCTTGTCCGATTTGAAGCGGCCTGCATCCAGCATTTCCCCGCGGACTTGACCAGATCGTCTGTCCATCTCGCGGGGGGCCGTCCTACGCTGCGCCTGCCGGTACGTGGTCTCCACTCGAGAACTCTCCTGCTTTTTTTTCATAGAGATACTTTATTATACTTATTAAAAGTTTGATTTAGTTGAAGTGCAAAAATGTTCATATGTGAGCTGTACGAATTTAAGTTACTAAATGATTAAGTTTTTTGTGTTTTTATTGCTGAGAAATTACAGCCCGTACCCGTAGTCGTTAACCTGCTGACGTTACTTAGTAAATTTGTACTAAAATGTCGTTAACCTGCACCTATTGTCTTTAACCTGGCGACATTGCCGTTCACCTGCCCCCCTCGTAATTTAGATTGCCTATATTTCCTAAAGTAATGAAAAAAATTGCTTCCCTCCACTAAAT